CCAGAACGATTACGCGTAAACATGCCAACCAACCGTTTGGTCGCCCCCCGCTTGACGTTGACAGGCTTGGGCTGGGGAGGGGCGGCGGCGTCTGCGAGGGGCTTGGAAGCGTTCGCGCCCTCCTCCGCGGGCAGGGCCGTCCACGAAGACGTTCCCGCGTCAACGGCTTCCTTCCTGGGCTCCACCAACAACTGGACCATGCCCTCCGCCAACTTCTGGGCCAGCGCAGGGGCCTGCTCGCCCAAGCCCTGCGCCCGCAACAGCCGACCGAGGGCAACCACATCGACCTGCATGTTGAAACCAAAGCCCGAGCAGTCCACCGCACTCAGGCGCCTGAGGTGCGTTCGTCGCCATCTCCTGCACCTGTGCGCTGAGCAAAGCTACCATCTTCTCCTGCCCGACCAGCGCTGCCTCGGCCTTCGCGAGATTGTCCTGCACCGCTGGCAGCTGCTCCTTCCTTGCCGCGACGAGCTCCCTCAACGCCTCCACAAGCTTCTCCGCGGACTTGAGCCGGCTTGACATCGTCTGCAGCTTCGCGCAAATTGGGCGCGACTCCTGAGGCTCGGCATGGACCTGCTCCTTCCCCAGGCGCGATGCATTGGCAAGCGCACTTACTTGCTGGTCGCTACTACACTTGGATAGGATCGCCAGCTGCTCCTCGAACTGCCACCTCAGACTGAACGTTCCCGCCAAACGCCACGGTTTTAACCGCACAACACACACACACACACACACTTCTTTGCCGTCGCCATATTCCACCACTGCTTGTTCGTCCGTGCATTATTGCACGATTTGCAGACACACTTGCACGCAGTCTGCTCGCGCGCCCCCATTACTTCTTTTTCGCACACGAGATCTGCTCATCTGCGGCCGCATGAGGCAGCTTAGCGACTGGGGCGGACCAGCCGCTGGATGTAAGCTTTACAAGGCTGGGCAGCCTTGCCTGCCGCGGTCTGGCGGTGTCCACGTGTTCCCCCTGTGGTCCCAGGCGTTTTGAGCCAAAATGGCCACGGAGGGGGGGGAGGAGGAGGGGGAGAAGGAGGGGGAGGAGGGGCTGCCCGATCCCACACCACCTGCCCCTCCTGCCCCAGAGGCAGCGATGCAGACGGGGCCGGCTCAGGGTGGGGGGTGAGGCATCGAGCTGACATCGGCGGGGCATCGCCGACAGGTCGGCGAGGGACCCCCGATGGCAGATCCGCGCCATCCTGGGCGGGGTGAGCTACCGGACCCGAATCGGCGATCATTACCAGCCTCGAACGTATCCCTATCCCTAAGATTGACACGCCAAATGGCGATGACAATCTTAGGGATCCGCCCTCAAAAAATAAGGGGATCCCTAGGATTGGCATCGTGATGAGGAGATGCCCAGCATAGGGACAGGGACATGTTCCAGGCTGGTAAGATCAATGGGCGATCGGGGGTGGATGTCTCACCCCTCTGAGCCTACGGCTGGGAGCTATCGTCTCGGCGGCAGCCCTGGCGACACCCCATGCCCTGCGAGCTGATCGCGTGTCGCTCCGTTCCTTGGGGTGGGAGGCTGGGAAAAGCTCGGGACGTTGATGCTGGGGGACTGGGTACGTGATTGGAGTCTCATGCCGAGGCGTGATCCAAAACTGAAGGCGCGGCACGCTAGGCAAACGTTGGCGACCGTACTGTGATTACCTCTGGGGTTGCCAAGGGGATAGAAAGGCTAGATGTGGATGCGATGGTGGGTTGCAGCTGGCCTAACTTATGGGCGGGTCAGGTGTGCATGAGTGGGCTCCGCCCGTTCAAACCAGATTTGCACCACCCCTAAACCCCTCAGAGCAAATGTAACCCATTTACAAGCCAGGCCCGGCCAGATGTAACCCACCTTGGCGTTCACTTCTGACCCCGTCCCCTTCGAACTCCCCACGGTCGTCCAAGCTGCGTTGCCCCTGACCCAGACCCCCGACGTCGAGACTTTTTCACAACATCGACCCCCAAAGGTCTGGACCCCTTTCCCGGGACCAACTTCTCATCCTGAATCGTTATTTGATGCTCCCGAGGGCCTGGAAGGGCCCCCGGAAGCCGAAACTAGCGAAGAACTCCCGTCTTGATATTTTTTGCTCCATGCGCGCAAGTCCTGAGTCGTTTTTTGACGCTCCCGAGGCCCGGAAGGGCCCCCGGAGTCTGAGAATTGCGACAAACCTCCCGCCGCGACTTTGGACGCCCGAAATGGGCACGGAAACAATGGGCACAATGCCCAACAGCAAATGTTGTCCCGAATCAACAGCGGCCGCTGTTGGGCAGGCGGCCTTCTGTCTCAAATGGACACAGGCCGCGGCGGCGCGGACAGCGAGGCCTGTTCAAAATGAACAGGAACTGCTGTTGGGCATTGTAACCACTCTTTCCGTACCCATGTCGGCCGTCCCGATTTCTCACGGCGCGATGGGGTCTGTCATCCTCCCTGCCCCCGCGCGACACCCCGCCGCAGGAGGCCGCCGCGGCCGCGCCGCGCCGCCCGCAGGCCGCCATGGGGCGGCGCTCGGCCCCGCGGGCGCGCCGCGAGGGCGCGCCGGTGGTCCCCGCCCGGCCCGGACGGTCCTCGGCACGCGGCCCTGCGGGGAGGCAGCGGGCGAGCGAGGAGAGCAGCGCGGTCGCGGCAGGGGGAAGGGGAGGGGGAGGAGGGGGAGGAGGAGGAGGAGGAGGAGGAGGAGGAGGAGGAGGGAGGAGGAGGGAGGAGGAGGAGGAGGAGGAGGAGGAGGGGAGAGAGGAGAGGAGGAGGGGGAGGGGAGGAGGAGAGGAGGAGGAGGAGAGGAGGAGGAGGAGGAGAGGAGGAGAGGAAGAGGAGGAGGAGGAGGAGGAGGAGGAGGAGGAGGAGGGGAGAGAAGCTGCAGCATGATCAGCGGAAATAGCGAGGAGAAGGAGGAGGAGGAGGAGGAGGAGGAGGAGGAGGAGGAGGAAGGGGGAGGGCAGAGCAGCAGCAGGATGTGCAGGAGGGTGGATTCGAAGGGAGCAGAAGGATGAGGAGCACGAGGTGCAGCAGCAGCAGAGCGCCGACCATCCCGAGAGGATTGGCGGCAGTCCTGCCGCAGTTCAGGCCGCGACCGTGGATCCAGTCGCAGCAGCACGCGGCCCGCAGCCCCGCGCTTCTCCTGTCGACGGCACAAGAAGGCTTCCATGATCATCGTTGAAACGATCCCCATCCCCACTGGCACGACCCGGGTTCCACTGGACGCTTGCCCTCCCTCAGATGCGGAGAGGGGCGCTTCCCTTAGGATTTCGAGGGGTTCCTCCCCAACTGGCGGGGTGGGATGGTTGGGGCTGAGAGGCCTGCTCCTCCTCCTCCGAGGAGGACTGGCCAAAGCTGGACCGAGGAGGCAAGGACGCAAGGGTACCCTTGGGAAGGCTGACCATCCTTCCTATGCAGATTGGCCGTGCTCCCCGGCGCCAGGTTCTACGCTTGAGAACTCGGAGGCAGAGGCGGGCCCAGAGTTCACTGCAACGACTGGCGGTTGCCCGACTTGAGTCCGGGAGTCGGCAGGCAGCCCTGCAGCAGGACGGTCCTCGCCTCTCCGTATACGCGGAGCAGGAAGAACCGAAGGGATGGAACCCGCGCGTGAGGCAACAAAAACGCGCTTAGGAGGAGACGGGAGGGGGGAGGAGGGGGAGGAGGAGGAGGAGGAGGAGGAGGAGGAGGAGGAGGAGGAGGAGGAGGGGGAGGAGGAGAAGGAGGGACGAGGGGCTGAGGAGTTGGCCGCGTGATTGCCAAGATGGGTTCTCACGCGCACCGCAGGGGTGAAATACAGCGCAACATGACATTCACAGCCAGAACCAATACCACTACCACCACTACCACCACCACCACCACCACCACCAACGATCACGATTACTCTCACTCCGCCTAGCCCTACTACTGCGGCGGCTGATCCTGCAGGTCCGACATCTGATGACGTGCTGCTTGCTTTTGCCGCCGACCCTGGCCGCAATAAGAGCGACAACGATAAAAGGCACATTATGGGTCCTCAAATCCGGGCCCGGAGAGACGCAGGAGAGAGCAGTGCAAAACCACCGCGCGCCCTTTCATTGCCGCGACCGTGCCTCAGGCAACAATGCCGCGCGACACTCTGGGGATCCCCATCCGAACGTGAGCGGGCCCGACCCCCCCCTCCTCCTCGGCTGCGCGCAAAGAGTGACTCTGGGCAAGAGCTACCTTTGATTCGCAGCTTTCGGGGGAACGGTGGGGCCAAGCCCGAGCGCGCAAGCCAGCAATGGGTGATAAGGGGGGCACTGGGAGGAACCCCTCTGGGCCCGCACCGTAAGTCACTCTGGCGAAGGGTCACTCTCAGGAGCAGCCGACCTGGTCGAAGGGTCGCGCCGCATCGCCGATGCGTCGGCGATGCATCCGCGACGTCGGCGATGCAACGGCGACGTCGGCGTGGAGAAAAGCGGGCTCAGCCTCGAGCCGCATCGCCGATGCATCGGCAATGCGGCGCTATCTTCCGACCCCCTGTATTCCGACCCCATGGAGGCCTAGATCCTCCTCCTGGAGGCGCAGAAGGTGGCGTGAAGCATTGGCCTCACGGCTCACCGGAAGCACGGCCACTGGGCTTTGCTTAACGGGGGGACGATCAATGGGGTAGGGGAGGGGGAGAAACGTGCACCTCTCATTGGAATCTTTTTCCACGCTGTTTGCCCCCACATTTTTCCCTGGACAAGCTGTTGGGCAGCGTCTTGTCCCTACCGCTGCGCGAATCAAAACGTCCCCCAGCGAGTCTTAAGTCGGGCGTGTCCCCCTACAGGGGCATTTTGGATGAATAATGAAACATACTCAAGAAATGCTCCCAAATGGTCAACAATACTCAAAAAATAGTCCCCCGACTATTTTTTACTATTTCAGGATATTCCCCCTGTAGAGGGACAGGCCCGACTCGAAGCGAGTCCGTTGGCCCCCCACCGACCGCCCCCCGTCACGCAGCGCCCGAGGCCAGCCCGCGGGGCGACTGCCGGCGCCGCGTCGGCGCTCGAGCGAGCCCGCCTCAGAGGACGGGGCCGTAGCAGAAGCCGCCGTCCCGCCTGCGGCTGTAGCCGCGCCCCTGGCTGGAGATCTTGTGCGCCTCCCGGCCTTGGCCGCCCCGCCCTCCCCCTCGTCATCCAGGTCGTCGTACCCCTCCTCCAACAACCGTCACCCCCCCCCTCTCTGTGGTTCCTCCTCCTCCTCCTCCTCCGTCCTCCGTCCTCCGTCCTCCGTCCTCCGTCCTCCATCCTCCTCCTCCTCCTCCTCCTCCTCCTCCTCCTCCTCCTCCTCCTCTCGATCTCCTCCCCCTGACCCTCAAATCCATCCCCCTCTCCTCCCCCTTCCCCCCCCTCCTCCTCCGTCCTCCTCTTCCGTCCTCCTCCTCCGTCCTCCTCCTCCTCCTCCTCCTCCTCCTCCTCCTCCTCCTCCTCCTCCTCCTCCTCCTCCTCCGTCCTCCGTCCTCCGTCCTCCGACCTCCGTCCTCCGTCCTCTTCCTCCTCCGTCCTCCTCCCGACGCGCCCGGCCGGCGGCCAAGCCCGCCGCCAGGGCCCGGCCCCTTCGGGGTCGAGAGCGTCGGCATCGCCTGCGGGCGGGGATGCGCTTGCCGAGGCAGGGCGGGCGGAGGACGGCCAGACACGGCCCAGCTCGGCCCTCCTCGCATCGTCCTCGCACCCAGGGCGCAGTCCTCGTCCTCGTCTCGCCCTCGCCCTCGCCCTCGCCATCACCCTCGTCTCGTTCTCGTTCTCGTGTTGCCCTCCTCCTCCTCCTCCTCCTCCTCCTCCTCCTCCTCCTCCTCCTCCTCCTCCTCCTCCTCCTCCTCGTCCTCGCATCCCTCGCCGGCGACGGGGCGCAGTGAGGACGGGGAGGCTCGAACTGGAAGGGGGATGGGAGGACGGCGGTGGTGTTTAAGCATTAAGCAGAGGTGGCGGAACCCAAGTGCAAGCCTGGCCGCACGACATCACAATCAATCACGTGGGAAGCTCATCCCAAACTTTGGGGGAAGCCCACGACTGAGCCTCCCAAGGGCCTCCCTCCCTTTGGGCCAGTGGGAGGGCAGAGTCCCTTCAAGTTCCCGGGGCTGGTGACCCCGAGCGCGCCACACACTCTGCAAAAGAGAACGCCGTTCAAAATACGCAGCCGATGGGAGGCATGGCAGACAGGGGCGAGGGGGTGAGAGGACGGGTCGCAAAAATCCCCCCCCCCCCAGCCGCACACGGCCTTCACCATCAGGCTCAGCAAGGTGCCCAAACCGAGAGCCCGGACACTGACCTGGCCTGAACAACGAGAGAGGTCCTCGGAGGCTAAACCTAGCAGAACAGATACTACACTTACTTAAGGTCTTAAGCACCACAGGGCTGTGCTGCTGCTCGCGCACACGCGCCACACGCGTGCGCAGGCTAGTCGCAGGCCCCCGCGTGCGAACATGCCCCTGCCCAACACGCACGCGCTCACGTGCACACGTCATGTACACATCGCGCTGCACAGCGAGCATCCTACACGAAATATCACGATGGAGTGTGTCCTCTTGGTGGGTGCGATCCACGAGCTCAGATGGAATTGCTCCTCTCTGGGCGGCCTCGGCCGCCAGACCGTCGGCAGCTGCATTCAGCATGCGTTCAATACGAGTGAGGCCAAGCTGTTGAACTTGAAAGGCAGTAGGATTCGATTTCGTCCACCTCAGGTCGATCTCGCCTTCCCTCGCATCAAGAACTCTCCAAAGCTCCACCCACAAATCAAGCAGATCCGATTTTTGCAACAACTCCCGAGGCTTCCGAAAACCTCGCACCACGAGCAGGTAGTCCGAGAAAATTAACACTCTGCTGTAGGTGTGCTTCAACACCATGATGAGCGCCAAAAGCTCGGCCCTCGGGGAACTCTGGGACTCACCAGGAAGAGTACCAGCGAGGAAACCATCAACATCTGCAAGAGACGAACCTAAGCGGGCACACGCCCAACCGCAACGCCTTAGCCTCCAATCCTTAGTAAGCTTCCCTCCCGACCCGTCGATCCCCCAGACTCCACCCGGCGCACTCTGGCCCTCCTCGAGGGCTCCCCCGTACCAGATCAGATCGGCAGACGGCGGAAGATGGCCAATCGAGCGCGATTTGGGCATGAGCCCGCGGCACCACAGAGCAGGGCAATCAGGAGCCTCTTCCAGCGCACGAGCACACAGAGGTTGAGTCCGCTCCACGGCAGGCGAGGGGATGCGATCGTTGCACTCACACTTCCAGAACCGATGAAGGGGAGTTTCAGGTTCAAGCCCACAGCGTCGACAATACCCATGAGACTCGGTGTCGAACCCGCTCTCATGCAACCGGCTTTCAGTCCAGAAACCGCCGACCAGAGTATTCCTCAAGATACCCTGGCCTTCATAATCCAAGTCCTTAGACATAGCGGCCAACAACGAGTGTACACAAGTAAAATCAACCCCATCTTGGACGCCTTCCCCCAAGTAGTGCTTAGCAGCCGTACTCCAGACCTCGCCATGGATGGTCTTCTTCAGCTGCTCCCACAGCCGAGCGGGAAAATCAGGGGCATCAACATGCAGGGGGCCGCCTCCAGGAACAATCCAAACAAGTGGGGACACGGGCTGCCACTCCAAATCGATGAGGACTGCGACCGCGGCTGCCACCGGACCTCGGACGCGGCGCCAGATACGCCCTGGTGGCAGACAGGCATATTCAGCAGCTCGAGCTTCCCACAACCGAGATATACGCATTTTGGCCCTTGGGTCCAAACCCAACCACAACTGCTGAAATCCCAGAAGTTGCTCACGCCGCAGACGGTAAGCAGGATCAGAAGACTCAGCCTTCAGGATAGACAACAACGTAGTCGTGCACGACCCTGGGCTCCACCATCCCGAACACTTCGCGGCCTGGGCTCGAACCGAAAGAACCTGGTGAGGTGATAGCCCCAGAACATTGTACCCCCAGGAGGAAACAGAAAGCACACCAGGCTTATACAGTTTAGAGGCTCCTTTGCAAATGCCAGTCAAATACTTGATTTTCTTGGCTTTCCGCTGGGCTTTGGCCCGTCTCACCTTGAGGATAGTACTGCACCTAGCCTTTCCAGCAGCAGTCGCAACCCCAAGGTCGCGAACAGTATCCCGCGCACGAAGGGCCACTCCAGCGGCCCGAAGTTGGCGAGCAATGCGAAAGCTAACGGACCGCTTGCTACTGACAATCGCCGACTTGTCTGACATAGTCAGGCGCAACCTGTCGACGCCGCGCGCCAGGTGAAGAGCCGCCGGTACAACAGCGCTGACCACGTCGTCGGCGCTGCCCTGCGCATTCTAAGAGAGATCATCAACATGCCCCTGGGTCACGACACCGGGGAAAAACCGGCGATGGATATCATCAAGCATCTGGTACAAGTACGCTTTAGTCCATGGCATACTCTGTGCGCATCCAGGAAGGACCCCGACCCCAGACTCGAAAAGTTCTGAGCAGAACCCCCCCGTCTCCAACACCCTCGGCGAGAGGTGGATGAGCAATCCCATATGCATAAGATGGGGAGGGAACTGCAACTTACAGCCCAGCCTGATCAACAGGACGGGCGAAACTGCGTCGAAAAACTTGCGCAAGTCCCAATGCACAGCGACCGAGACCAGGCCCTCGAAAGCGGCGAGCTCGTGGGACAACTCCCGCCGCAAGGCTGCCTGCAACGCAGAGCTACCTCGAATCGCAGTGCCCCAGAAAGCAACATGGCCCCGACTCCAGTCATCCAAAAAGGACCCCCGGATTTTCGTATACACCCGATAGAGGGTGGGGCATTTACACGCAGGCCTCTCGTCAACCTTGCTTTTGGGGAGGAGGGCAATCACGCTAAGGGGGGCCTGCTCGGGCCACATCAGGGCCTCCTCACACCCCCGGTAAAGCTGGACGAGAGCTTCGAGAGCGTCAGGCTGGGCGTTCATGAACTCCCGAGGTTTCCAATGACCCCCCCCCGCGGCAGTGTCTTCAGAAAAAAGCCTACTGGCAACGTAGACGTCCCGACACTCGATGTCAGGAAGTTCAGGTTACACTTCAACGGCACGCCTGCGCAGCTCGCTCAGGGCATCTCCCAGCTCAACGTTCCGATCGGGGCCAGCAGTCCAAAAGCGCCCCCAGAGTTGGGCACAATAGGCCATCATTTCAGCAGGCAGCTGCAGGACCCGCTCAGGGGTCCTAAAAAACTCCAGGGGGTCCCCCTCATCCCTTCTAAGCCACGCGTGAGCTTTCATCGCCCCCCGCGGCAAGGCTTTGATAAGCCAATCCTCAACCGCCTTAGCAGAACATGACCGAGCATCAGACCAGGCCTTCGCGAGCGCAGCAGGGCACTCAAAGACCAGGAAATCGCAGAGATCGGTGCTGAGCGCAGAGCTACCAGACTCCATCTGGGCAAGCTAAGCCCGCCACGCCTGCGAGGTCTGCGTCGGAGGCAGGCAAGACGAGCACTGGTCAACATATCTGCCAAGATAGGAAACTCGCCGAGCCAGATCCCGAGACATCTTGATGTGCCCATGTTCAAGGGCCACTCGAAGTTCAAATAGCTTCTGAGAGAGGTGCGACCAGAAACACAACACGGGATCGGAGTACGCCTTGCCACAACCATTGTTCGCAGTCAACGTAGTCCGTCTAGTGCTAAAGAAATCCCCCCTTCCCAGATACTGTTCAAAATCATGTTCAACATCGTCTAGTCCACCATTTTGAAACCTCTCTCCGCCCAGGGCTATGCTCTCAGAAGCCCGGGACCACAGAAGGTAGGTGTTAGTAAGCTCCGCCGAAAGATGATCCTGAACATGCGGGACAAGCCGAACATCTGGATTTCGCACCGGCGGGGCCCAATCCCGACAGACCAACTCAAGATGCCGAGCCCGAGGAAGTTCTGGCCCCTGGACAACAGGGAAAGCCCGAGGTTTGCAGCGTTTGGTCATCTCTTGGAGCAGGGCCGCGCGCGGCAACACTACCTGCAAACACGCATGAGTCTTGAGAGGCGAGTTCTCGTACTTCGTGACTTTCAAGAACGGGGCGAGGGTCTCCGAGGCGACTACATAATCTATCAGCGCGCCCTGGCCCTGCGAGCACGTGTAGGCGACTCCTGCAGGTGGAATCGCACGGGCACAGGTCATCTTCAAGAACCCGCGCAGCTGCATCAGCTCAATGTCGAAATTGAAGTCCCCCATGAGAACCCACGGCACAGCCAAGGTTTGAACGAAAGTATGGGTCTCTTTCATCTTCCGAATGTTTTCGCCCGACACGCCCAAATCAGCAACCATATGCACGACGCCGACGCCCAAGACCGACCTCTGGGTACGCAACTCCAGGAACATCCACCCGTTTCCAGCACCCACCTCCTGCACACATCCATCGTGAGCAAGAAACTTCTTAAAACATAGACCTCTGTGAACACACGCCCCCAACCCGCCATGAGCACCTCCTCCAGAAGTGCACTGCGCTGGGACAAAATGGGGGCGCCACTTCATCGTGGCACATTCCCGTTTGGCAGCTTTCAATTGATGGGGGAGCTGGCGGTGCTCGGCAAAGAAAAAGGCGTCAGCCTTACCATGCAACTTAGATATGAAGCTCTTGGTCAAAGAGATCCACTGCGTAACATTACAGAACAAAAATGTGGTGCACCCACTCACGCTGCTAAAGCCCAGGCTGCGCCGGCATCTGCGCCACGGTGGCGCGGACCAGGTCGGCGAAGTCAGCCGAGGCAGCGTCAGCAGCGGTCTTGAGGCGCTTCGACGTGCGAGCCTTGGACCGCTGGACCATGAGGTGCTCCATCCTGAACATGTCGTCAGGGCCAAGGACCTCGGCACAGGCCCGCTTGCGTAGTGTTTTGAGCTCCTCAGCCTCGGGGCCAGGGAGATCGCCAGCGTCACTGCCAGCATCACTATCAGCATCAAGATCAACCGTAGCCCCCTGGGCGAGGCGCTTCGCCATGCCCTGGAACTGCAAGAGGAGCCCCAGGGGAAGGTTTTGTTCCGCAGCGTAGGCGCGGAGCTGCTCCTCACTCATCTCGCCCAGGTTCGGAATCGTCTCCGGAGCCATGCGGACATCATTGTCACGTGCGCCTCGGCCGGCGGCACCGCGAGCAGCTCCCTCAGCACGCTCGCCAGCACCAGCAGGGGCTCCAGGCGCATCCCCAGCACGAGCAGCGGCCGCAGCAGCTCCACGAGCTTCGCGTTGGTCAATTCGCTTCCGCTCGATCCAGGCGTCCTCGTTGAACTGCTGGAAGGCCAAATCGGCGGCAGTCTTCTCATTCTGCGCCTTCTCATGGGGCGCAGTGTCGGTAGCCAGGTTGGCCTTGGCTTCCGCCAGCTGCTCCTCGAGCTTCTGCACCTTGGTTTTACGATGATGTACTTCTTGAGAGGCCAAGTGCACCGCCTTGGCCGCATCCTCGACGACACGAGTGAGGCGGGTACGCTCAGCACTGGCTGCATCCTGCAACCTGGACATAGACCATTCAGGCTCCACCGCGACGGGAGGTTCCTCCACGAACTCAGCAAGACCTTCACGCAGATCGGGCTTAGCGGCAAGCAGAAGGGCAGCAGCAGCGCGAAGCTCAGCGTCAGGACCATCTCCACGCTCTCCTGCGGCTGCGGCGTCACGGACACCATTGCCACGGCCAGCATCATGACCACGAGGCGCATCACCCAAGTACTCGCCACCGCAAAGCGAGCAGCAGAAGTTGCCATGCGACTGGTACTCCCAGTGCCCGCAGTCCGCACAGACATCGTACGGCTTCTTATTCGACTTGCCACTCTTGTTCCAACCTTTGCCGCCATTGTACCACGGCGCACGCTTGCGCCACGACATGGCAGCGCGCCCGACTGCCTCCCCCACGGGTGAATGGTGCACCCTCGCAAGGGGAGGCTGGAAAAGCCAACAGGGTATGTCCTCGGTTCAGAGGTCTCCCTTTCGCCTGGAGGCTGAACAGCCCCCCAGGAAAGCATCTTGAGCCAAAATGGCTACGGCACAGGGGGCGGCGGTGGTGAGAGAGCAGGCTGGAGGGGGGGGGGGGGGGGGGGGGAAAGGGGAGGCGGACAGGAGGGAGGACGAAGGAGGAGGGTGAGGAAGGGAGGAAGGGGGCGAGAAGGGGGAGGGGAGCGGGAAAGAACGGCTTACGAGAAGAAATGGGTCGGACTGGAAGGCATGGGGTCGTCCTTCGGAGGGGAGGGGCATCCATCCTCTCATCTCCTGCCTCAACGCTCTCATCGAGCCTCTCCTCGCTCTTCTCTCTTTCCACCTCCACCTCCTCCTCCTCCTCCTCGTCCTCCTCCTCCTCATCCTCCCTCCTCCGCCTCCTCCTCCTGCTCGTTCTCCTCCCCCTCCTCCTCGTCGTCCTCCTCCTCCTCCTCCTCCTCCTCCTCCTCCTCCACCTCCTCCTCCTCCGTCCTCCTCCCTCTCCTCCTCTTTCTCCTCCTCCTCCTCCTGCTCGCGCCGCATCCAGCCCAGTCCACACTCTCTCCTTTCCCTGCTCCGCCTCCTCCTCGTCCTCATCTTCCTGCTTCTCCTTCTCCCACTCGTCCTCTTCCTTCTCGTGCTCCCGCCACTTATGCGGGGCATTCGGCCCTTCATTCGCTGGCCCGTCATGATGGGCGTTCTTCCATCATTGTCTGAATCGCCTCATAGGGGGGCGTTGCCCCTCCCTCGCTCATACGTCGACCCCTAATGCCAGGGCCTCGAAGCCTCATTATTTGACCCGTCATGCGTGAAATATGCCCCCCTCATTCGTTGACTCGTCATGCTGGTCTTTGATCCTCACGATTCGACTCGACCATCATGCGGGGTGTTGGCACATGTTGTGTTGACCCCTCACGTGGGAGAATCCCCCCCACGCGAAGGACACCCATGTTGTGGACTTGACTACTCATGCGGTTCCCTTTTCACATTGGGCTGGGACCCCCCACGCGTTATCCCCCCGTGCTGGGCCAGTGACCCCGCATGCAATGTACCTCTGATGATGTCCAGTCATGCTGGGGCTTTGGCCAACTACGATTGGGCCCCTCATTCTGGAGCTTGGCTCCTCATTTTGGGACTATTGGTCCCTCAAGTGTTGAGCCCATCATGCAAGGGCTTTGGCCGACCACGATTTGGCCCCTCATGCTTGGGCTGCGACCCCTCATGCGTTGGAACGCTCTGGAACGAATTGATCCTCGTCCCGGCCCCGTCCGAGCTCCAGAAGGGTGCCCAGCTCCGCGGTGAGGAGTGGGAGGGCGGGGCATGACGTCAGATATGGCACGAGCGCGCGAAGCTTGGCTCCTCCACGTGCATCTCTTTGAAGTCCCGAAACGGTGCGGTGACGGACCGTGCGGTGACCTCGAAATCTCCCAAGGCCTCACCGCACGGTCCTTCACCGCACGGTTTCGGGACCCCGGAGGCTCCAGTCGCCCGAGACGTCCTCGGAGAACGACCCGAGTCCCAAAACCGTGCGGTGACCTCGAATCCCCACCGACTCACCGCACGGTGTGGTCACCACCCCGCTTGGGGGCCCCCAAATCTCTGTCGCGGATCCAGTCGGGGATCTTCTGACCCGGGTCAATCCAGACCCGGGTCAGCAGGAAACCAAAAACTGCAATGCAGGAAAAACAACACTGCAACGCAGGTCTTCGCACACCCGGGTCAGCCAATCTGCGCGGCCGCCTCGCGGCCACGAGCGGCTCGCTGACCCAGGTCAGCCAGAGGGGGTCTTCGCAGGATCCTGCAGGATCCGGTGCCCTGGCTGACTCCCGTTTGCATTGACCCCCGTCTCCAGGCTCCCGACAGGGCCCCCGGGGCCCGAGACCGGCCTCCTTTGGCACCCTGGGAGCCGACGTCGACGACGCCGGCGGCGGCGGTGGCCGCCTTCAGGTACGGCAGCGCGGGGATCGAGCCGAGCTCCAGGCCGCCGGCCCGCGGCCTCGGAGCCCGCCGCGGCCCAGACCGAACGCGCGCCAGACGAGAGGGGCGGGACGAGTGGTGAGGATGAGGATTAGGATGAGGATGATGAGGAGGATGCTCCTGATATGATGATGAGGATGATGATGATGATGATGCTGCTGATCATGCTGATGATGATGGTGATGATGATGATGGTGATGCTGCTGATGATAATACTAATAGTACTAATGATACTCATAATAATAATAATAATAATAATAATACTTATCCCAGTGCGGCCCTACCTAGGAGTTGGAGAATGTAGGAAAGCAGCATCTACATCTACACCGACAGCTATGGTATGCTATGCTAGGGTACGCTCGACTGCGCTGTGTTATGCTAGGTTATGTTGTGCTATGCTATGCTGCGCTATGCTATGCTATGCTATACTGCGCTATGCTATGTTATGCGATGCTGCGCTATGATGTGCTAGGCTATGATATGACATGCTATGCTAAGCAATGTCATGCTATGCTTATGCTATGCTATGCTGCGCTATGCTATGTTATGCTATACTATGCCGCGCTGTGCTACGCTATGCTTGGCTATGCTGCGCTGTGCTATGCTAAGCAATGTTATGATATGCTTATGCGTTGCTATGTTGCGCTATGCTATGCTATGCTATGATATGCTATGCTATGTTATGCTGAGCTATGCTGAGCTATGCTGAGCTATGCTATGCTATGCTATGCTATGCTATGCTTGGCTATGCTATGCTATGCTGTGCTAATGCTGCGCTGCGCTAAGCTAGGCTGCGCTAAGCTAAGCTAAGGTAAGCGAAGCTATGCTAAGCTAAGCTAAGCTGAGCTAAGCTGAGCTAGGCTAAGCTAAGCTAGACTGAGATAAGCTATGCTAAGCTAAGCTGAGCTAGGCTAGGCAAAGCTAAGCTAAGCTAAGCTAAGCGAAAGCTAAGATGAGACAAGCTAAGCTAAGCTCAGCTAAGCTAAGCTTAGCTTAGCTAAGCTAAGCTAGGTTAACCCAGGGGACGTAACTGGGGGAACCGCGGGGCGGATGCCGGGGGAACCGCCCCGGGCGTTTTGCAATGCCCGGCCCTTTAAGTTTAGCGAGTAAGAACCCTTCTAGACAGAGCCTAGGCAGGGAATCATAATAATATGCATGATGATGATAGAGAAGATGATGATGATGATGATGATGATGATGATGATGATGATGGAGATGGAGATGATGGTGGTGATGGTGGTGATGATGGTGGTGGTCATGATGGTGGTGGTGGTAATAGTGATGATGATGATGCTGATGATGATGATGATGATTCTCCCGCTCGCGCGCTAGCGAGCTGTCTCCGAGCGCGGCCGCGGCTCGCGCGCGCGGGGCGGCCCAAAATGGGCAGGCCCGTCCCGCGCGCTCGTGCCGGGGCGCCGCGCGTCAGGCGGGGGAGACCGCCTGCTCGCCGACGACGGCGAGGCAGCGCCCATCAGCCTTAGATTGGGAGAGGAGGGAGGGGGGCAGAGAAGCTGCGGAGACAGCAGGAGCTTGCTCACAGAGAATAGAAGAGGCATTCTCCCGCTCGCGCGCTAGCGAGCTGTCTCCGAGCGCGGCCGCGGCTCGCGCGCGCGGGGCGGCCCAAAATGGGCAGGCCCGTCCCGCGCGCTCGTGCCGGGGCGCCGCGCGTCAGGCGGGGGAGACCGCCTGCTCGCCGACGACGGCGAGGCAGCCATACCCGTGCTCAAGGACCTTGCGAAGTGACAAGGTTTCGGCGGGCGGCCGCAAGTAGGGCAGGCCAAGCGGCGGGGCCGACTTGGAGAAATGAAGCGACAAGGCGGTCGCTGGCGGTGGCGAAGAACAGGATCCGCGCCCGTGCGGGCACGGGCAGCGCAGCAAGAACTGTGGAAGCGGCGGCGGCTTGCAGGTAGCGCTCAGCACTGGAAGCCTGACGCCAACGCCCCCGCCAGAAGACGCGAGGGACGTCTTCCGTAGCGATATAGAAGTCTGTTGCGCCAGAGCCCCGCAGACATGCGGGCGTCAGGTTGAGCCCCTGACCCGCTTTGGCAAGAGGGACGCCCAGGGCCGAAAGCAAATGATTCCACCGAGTACGGAAGCCGCTCGCACCGAAAGGGGCGAGAGGATCGGTGGAAGCCAACCGCCCAAACACTTGATTCAGAATCTTCACCGTGCCCCGATCGGAGCAGCGAGCATGCTGCGTCGGGTACGTTCTCCTGGTGAACAAGAATCGACATCCCCTTCAACTTCGAGGCGGTCGCAAGGAAGCGACAAGTCACAGCGGCGTGACGCCAGCAGCTCGCCAGGCCTGAGGAACATCGTAAAGCCCATGAGCAGCAAGGCCGCCATCACAGGCCAGTCCCAGGCGAAACAGAGACCGACCATAGCGCGCAGCAGAGCGCGAGGTAAGGGCGGGCGGAGCTTTGGCGGCTCCGCGAGCTTCCATTGTTTCGCTACGTCCCAAGCTTCTGTTAGAAAGGCCTTCCAATGCGGATGAGCGCTCTGGATTCCCAAGATGGCATGAACCAGAATATAATGAGGGAAACCTGCATCATGAAGCCACACGCCGAAGGTCGCGAGGAAGCGGGCGAGAAGTAGCCCGCTACGGTAAAGAGTGGCGGGCGGCACGCCAGTGTGTTCTGCTAACCACAGTTCGAACGCATCAATCGATCTCGAGCGACGATCGAGATACGCGGAGGTGAGGTGAGAATCGCGCACGAAGGGAGTGCGCGGAGGGCGAGCGGGCGCGGAAGGCGCAGCCCGACTAAGCCCTTGGCCTGCGGTCGGCGCCGCGGCTCCCAGAGAGATGCAGAGGCCGCAGACGCACCACAGGATGAGCGCAGGGCGGCCAGGGCTGGGAGAGCTGATCAGCGTGGCGGCCCTCCTGCTCCTGGACGCGTAGAAGGGCGGAACGAGGGTGTCCCGCCCGTCGGTCTCGAACCCCGACGCCTCCGCCAGCATCGCCCGCGCCGAGGTGAAGGATCCGCCCATGTTACGGTGAGCACGGCGAGCCCCTGCTTCGATGTCGGCGGGCAGAGCGCCCCCTCCCTCGAGGGTCGCCCAGTCAAAGGGCGGGCGCGGCTCGGCGCGCGCAGCTGCGGCCGATTCGGCGAGCTCGGAACGAGCTGCCGAGGACGTGAGGCCCGAATGATGTGGAACGGGCACCACCTCCGCGAACGCGTCGAGGATCTCGGACGGAGGGGAATGAGATCCCCACAGCGCTGCTGGGATGGCGCCGTGACCGTCCTGCACGTGGTACAGAAGGTCGAAAAGGCAGGCCAACTTGCCCGCGCGCCTCCTGTGCTCGATCTTTGAGCCGAGCCCGATGCCACGGATGGCGCCCGCCCCCATGGCTTGGAGGTCAGCGCCCGCGGGGATAGCCTCGGGCTCGACGGCGGCCACGTAAGGATGCAACCACGAGGCTTCGTCGATCGGCTCGGCGCCGCCTGTCTGAAACAGGCGCTTATAGGCGTGCAAGGCCTGCAGGAGGCAGTGCAGGTCATCTCTGCCTTCGGGCTCGGCGGCCCCTGCGGGTGCGAAAGACCTCAGCCACGACGCCGCGCTCTGGAAGGCAGCTTGCCAGGCGGGTCCCCACCTCACCACTGTGACCTTCTCACCGCCGAGGTTGAGACGCCACGCTAGGGCGGTGGCGGCCCCTGGAGGCAAGGGCTGCTCAACGGCCGCGGAGGCCGTGCGCCGCGCTGCGAAGGCTGCAGCCGCGGCGCTCCCAGCGTCGCCGCTGTGGGAGCCGCTGGGATGCAGCTCGTGCCCTGAATCTCGGCCAGGCGCGGGGCCGCTCGAAGACCCCCTTTCCTCGGCGGCACGCCCTCCGCCCTGCGGGGCCGCAACAGCATCGCTGGAGGAGCGCGTGCCTACCGAAGACGGAGGGGCCTGAGCAGCGGAGTCCGCGCGGGAGCTGCCTGCGTGGGCGTCGCCCGAGCTCGCATCATGGCGGGACGTGGCTGGCCGCTGCGCAGTAGCGGGGCTCGGGCGCCGCTTCGGAGCGACTCGAGGGGAGCGCACCTCGCGACGCCGAGGCGACGTCGCCTGACGCGAAGGCGCGCGAGAGGAGCCGCGCGCGACGGCCCGACTAAGCCCCTGGCCTGCGGTCGACGCGCGGGATCGCGACGCCGCACGCCCACCAGAGTGGTGAGGGGGCGGCGGCGGCGGCGGGGGCACGGGCCGCGGAGTCTCGGAGCCTAGACGCGTGCCGCGGCCCCGAGAGCGACTGCGAGCCGAGGCCCGAGCGGCGGGCGGAGAGGCCCCCGAGCGGCGAGGGAAGGCCGCCTGCAGGCGGCGGAGGACCTCGGGGTTCAGGCCCGCCACGACGCGCTCGAGGTCCATCGAGGAGTCTGCGAGGGCACTCAGCACGACGTCCTCGAGCTCCGTCGGAGAGTCCTCGTCGCACGCGGGCTCCGCTCTCGAGCGGCTGCGAACGCTCGCGGGCGGGGACCCGTCAGGAGTGTGCGGGCCCTCCGATGCCTCCCCCGCAGGCGGCTCCGACGGCTCCTCGGGCGAGATCGGGCCGTCGACGGGAGGCGACGAGCAGCCCCCCGAGGGAGAGGTGCGGTCGGTCCCGTACGGGTTTGGAGACCGCGTACGGCTGCGGGCAGGGCTGCGGCTCCGCGGTGGGGAGCCCACTCCCGCGGCGGAGCTGGGGCGTGCCGCGCCTGCCCAGCGGCGCGCATTGGCAGTGCGACGCGCCCTGCGGCCAGGCGCCGTGGCGGCCCCCCCCTCAGGGGCGGGGAGCGCCGCCATCGAAGCCCGCCGCTGCCTGGCGGCGCGCCTGGTGCGCGCGGCGCCCGTGCGCGAGGCGGAGTGCGGCGCGTGACCACCGCGGTTGGGCTGGTCCTCGACCGCTTCATCCCGCGGGCCCAGGCGGGCGCGGACCGCGCGCCGCTCACGACGGCTGAAGCTGGACGCAGGGTCGTCGGCGGGCCTTGCCAAGGCGCGCGGGTCCTCAGCCTCCACCTCGGCCAAGGAGCGGCCAGTGGACGACGCGGGTGCGTCCCCAGCACG